ATTACTACATATTCATGCCAAGTTTGGTCCAGATCCATCATTATTTGAGTCCACAGTACAGTGGCCAGAGGAACTTTCGCACAATTAAAACTTGTGCGCCAGCTGCGCCTGTACCTTGAGAGGTCTAACTTGGCCACGATGGTCCATGCTCTGGTTACATCCAGGATAGACTACTGCAATGCACTCTATGTGGGGTTGCCTCTGAAAACTGCCTGGAAGCTCCAGCTAGTCCAATGCTCGGCAGCCAGGCTGCTCACAGGAACGGGGTACACGGAGTACACAACTCCCTTGCTATACCAGTTCCACTGGCTGCCTATTAGCTTCTGAGCACAATTCAAAATGCTGGTTTTGACCTATAAAGACCTATAAAGACCTAAATGGTTCTGGCCCAGTTTACCTGCCTGGTAAACTGATGGTTCGATGGTTCAACGTGTCTCCCCCTATGAACCATCGAGGACCTTAAGATCATTTGGGGAGGCCCTGCTCTCGGTCCCACTGCCATTGCAGTTGTGTTTGCTGGGGACAAGAGGCAGGATCTTCTCCGTGATGGCCCCTTGGCTGTGGAACCACTCCCTAAGGAGGTTAGATCTATTACAGGATGTGCATATGTATGCTAAGTTTTTACAAGGATCATTGCCTGTATGGGTGCGTGTTGCGGAAGAACACCTGGACAATTAAGCAATTAAGCTTGAGCCACTCCCTGCATGGAGTATATCATGAGGAGTGTTTCCTAGTGTATTCAGAGATGGTGATCAGATGATCAGGAAGAGACCAGATGGGACTTCTATACTACAGGACTTGCTGAAGATCCTGAACAATTTACTACAAGACTCCTTGCACCAATGAAGAAGCAGAGAATGCATGATTTTAATACATTGGACTTTTGCGTGAGTTATTTTTCTGCAATGGACTAAGTTTATTTTCAAGGCTGGCTAATTTGTAAAGCTGCATATTTATTTCTGACTACTCAAGAGCAAATTTTGTTTTTCCTTTTACTCTGACTCTGTGTGATTCAGCTAGAGGGCTGGGGCTGAGAAGACAACTGGGTAGCTTCCACATAGACTAATAAACCGCAACAAGATCTTTCCCCTTCCTCCTAACCTTTTGGAAGAAATTTGAATCCTGGTTATCGGAGCAAGCATTCACAGAATAGACGGATTTTATTGGTGAAGATGCGATTTTATGGACCCCAACTTGGACTGAACTGGATGATGTTTTAACCTGGTGAATTGTTTCAATGTATATTTATAATCATTTTATGTATTGTTGTATTTTATTGGTGTTTTATATTGTGTCGGCATAGAATTGTTGCCTGTTGGTAGCTGTCCTGAGTCCTTCCTTGGAGGTCGAGAAGGATGGGATATATAAATGCTCTAAATAAGTAAGTAAGTAAATAAATAAATAGGTGAACTACAACTCCAAAACCCAACGTCAATGCCCACCAAACCCTTCCAGTATCTTCCGTTGGCCATGTGAGTTCTGTGTGTCAAGTTTGGTTCAATTCCATCACTAGTGCAGCTCATAATGCTCTTTGATTGTAGGTGAACTATAAATCCCAGTAACTACAACTCCCAAATGACACAATCCACCCGCCCCTAAACCCACCAGTATTCAAATTGGAGCGTATTGGGTATTTGAGCCAAATTTGGTCCAGTGAATGAAAATACATCCTGCAATCAGATATTTACATTATGATTCATAACAGTAGCAAAATTACAGTTATGAAGTAGCAACAAAATAATTGTTGGGGTACACCACAGCATGAGAAACTGTATTAAGGGGTCACAGCATTCAGAACGTCAAGGACCACTGGCCTTGGGAGTCTGTGAAATGATCAGAGGCTACATCAGGGCATGCACAGGAACAACATAATGCTTGATGCACAAGAAGGTTTTCTTTTTGGATTTTTTCCAAACATTTTTGAGGCATGGTGGGTTGAATCTATGGATGCAGTACCCATGTATACAAGAGGTCCAAATGTATACCCAACTTTCATTGTTCTTTAAAATGATTATCTTCCTCTTTCCCTTCCTCTTCTGAGAGCTGCCAAAGGTCACCCTTTTCCATCATTACCACGTGCTCAGAGTTTCCCTCAGCTGCCTTGCTCAACTAGCTCACTTTTCCCATCTGACTTTGACTTTGTCTTACCCCATCTCTGAGACACTGTCGAAAGAGCGATATGATAGCATATCCAACACAGATAGATTCTTTGCTTTTCCTTTATGTCTTCCTTCACTTCACTAGAAAGAGTTCATTAAGAAGCTTCCAAACATCTCAGGTCACTTTAACTTACTAACAATGAGTTGTGACTGCTTTACAAAAAAAAAAAAAAAAAGTATCTCTGCCTCATAGCTAGTACCCAGAGATGGCAGGAATTGAACCTAGGACTTTTTTGCATCTAACTATACAGAGTGGCCGACAGCACCCTCTTCTGCTCGCTAGAAGCGATTGAATATCAAGAGCTGTAGGATATATTTCAAAGGAAGGAACTGACAAAAACTTTGCTCCCCTGCAATTTAATTTGTGTAGGGTTATGAAAGTTTCTCCATGTCAAATTAATCATATATTTTTAAAATTCTACATTGATTTCTCCCCATTCTTTGGGAGTATGGGACATTGTCTTTTGATACACAATTTTCCTAGAATTTTAACTTTTTAGTGATTTTTATGTATGCATGTTACACCTACTTCTTGATTAAAGTATTTGTGTGCATTCCACAGATATATGTCACAGCAATCATTGGTATTCTCTGTACAGTAATAGGCCAAACCCCTTTTTCTGCAGAAGCACTCCTTCTCTGGTAAAGGAGTAGACAATCACCACATGTACCTTTGTAGAAAAACTTTATATATAATATTTACACAATTTTTAGCAGAGTTTGTTGACTCTCTTCTAACCCTTCTTTACAACACTTTAGACTCCATGAGTTCATACCTTCACCATAGTATATAAGAGGGGCATTCATTAAAGATTTCCCCTGGCCCACTTCCTGTGGACTGAGAACAATGAAACTTAGCACAGTTATTAGTTCTTATCAACATAGGTGCCACCTAGGGACACACACTTCTCCCATCTTTTTAAGCAACTGTAAACAACTTGCTTGTAGAAAACAACAGGTTGCTCCAAAAGCCACGTTGTGACTTCGGATATCAGTATCTCATTATCTGAAAAAATGCTTGTCCTTCAAAAATAACTTCATTGTTGGAAAGAGTCCAATGGTGCGAGGTTGGGTGAATAAGGGGTATGCGGTAGTATTTCAAAGCCACAGGAGCATGCTTCCATTTGGGCAACATGTGAGTTGTGAACTGGTGCATTGTCTTGCAGATGGACACCACATCTCAGTGAAGTATAGTATGCCCCAGTGATCATGGCACCCTTTGCTAGGAAATCCATCAATACTACTCAGTGCTGGTCCCAAAATACTGTTAGCATGACCTTGCCTGCTGAAAGTTGGGCCCATGCCTTCTTTGGAGGTGGTAAGTCATGATGCTTCCATTGTATCGACTGGACTTGAGTCTCAAGATCATAGTGATGGACCCAGCTTTCATTCTGTGTGATTAGTGTATTGAAAAAGTCCTCCTGGTTTCCATGGCACATCATCAATAGACCCTGAGAACATTCAACTCCTGCTTCTGGAAAAGTGTGGACAGCCAGGGGGTCCAGCGAACTGATACCTTATGCATGCGAAGATGGTAATGGATAATTTTTTTCCATGGACTCTACACTAATCTTGACATTTTGGGCTAGGCGGTGAATGATTATGCAACAATTTTCCAAAATGGTGACCTCCACTTGCTGAATGGTGTGTTCATCAATAGCAGAGTGGGGTCACCCTGGAATTGGAGCTGTTTCCACCGAAGTCTGACCACATTTGAATTGACAATGCCAGTTCTTGACTACATCATATGACGGGGAATCATCACCATAACCCTCTTTCATCTCATCAAACATATCTTTTGGTATGCGGCCTTTCAAGTAAAGGAACTTGATGACTGCTCTGTATTCCACTGGGTCCATTTTCAAACCTCACATTACTTCAGCACCTGTAAAATCAAGATCATTATCAGTTCTGTGTTGTAAATTGACACTGCTCTGTATTCCACTGGGTCCATTTTCAAACCTCACATTACTTCAGCACCTGTAAAATCAAGATCATTATCAGTTCTGTGTTGTAAATTGACACACAACCTATAAAGACATATCAGTACACATGTGCAGTTTCAACATCCTGTAATAAATAGAAATGGGTCAGAGGAAATCTGACATCCCTCATACTTCTTTATCTGTTATCTTCATTAATCCATGAGTCTCTCTGGGCCCTTCCACATAGCCCTATATCCCAGAATATCAAGGCAGAAAATCCCACATTATCTGAGTGTGGACTCTGATAACCCAATTCAAAGTAGATGTTGTGGGATTTTCTGCCTTAATATTCTGGATATAGGGCTGTGTGGAAGGGCCCTCTGTATCTTGAACTCCAGAAGCTTAATACTCTGGCAACAACACTCCCTTAGCAACTCTCTCTTAACTCACTGCAACCACATAGAACCTTGCACTTCTTTTATTACTCTTCAGCTACTCCACCCTGGCTTGCAAATTACTCAATAATAACCAGGTGGTTGAGTCCTTCATGCTAGCTTCTGGAATGGTCCTGATTCTTATAATCACTTATTGTCACTTCAGAAATGATAAAGTTACAAAACTCTGACAATATATATATGCTGCACCTACTGCACTGTCAACAGAGCCTCTGAAGATGCCAGGCACAGATGTAGGCAAAACATTAGGAAAGAATGCTGCTGAAACATGGCCATACAGCCCAAAGAACTCACAGCAACTCATTTGGATGCATTGTTTCCAAATAGATGCATTGAATGGGGAACATATAATTCTACATAATTTGAAAAGGGAGAAAACTCTTTTGTTGTTTCTTCATAATGGAATGGAAATATAGATAAGAACTTTCACTAATAACATTATAGATCACAGAACAAAAGAATTCAAGGAGTGGAGGACAGTTTATGAGAAATTCATTTCTGTCTGTAAGCATCTGGTTGTCAACACTGAGAATGAGGATGTTGAAGTCTTTGGTGTGATACAGCAAATCTGGCCTAATATTCTTTACAACAATCAGTAACACAATGGAATGTTCCAATCAGAAAAAAATAAGGAAGTTGACCGGAGTTGATCCTGTAGACAGATGTCCAAGATAAAAGAAAATCGTGGCCTACATAGGGCTTAATCTTTTTGGAAATGAGAAGGAAATTGTCTTCAGTACAATGTCCTTGGAAAAAAATGTGTTATAAGAGGACTATGAATAGCAGGAACCCAAAGATAGAAGAGAGGAGTGATCCAGATAATGCAGAACTTTGATCGGCTGGTCTACAGTCAACTTTTTTATCATCTGTATCAACAATGTTCCACATCCCAGTTTGTAATCCAGCACAGGTAGATTCTGTTGTGCAGCCCTTCACGTATATACTCTTTTCTGAACATGAGGGAAAAAAGAAGCATCTCAATTCCATGTTATACGACAAAATAAAGTCCACTCACCCCAAATGATTCTGGGCATTTTACGATGACTATCAAAATCGGACTTACACAAATTGCACAACACTAAATATTGTTCCCAGAGTGCAAATATTGTTCTAGGTAATAGTGCAACTAAACATGTATAATTCATTACACTGAAATGCTTTGCTTCCCAGCCAGGAGATCCCTGTTCAAATAAAAGCATTGTCCATTATTGAGATGTTATCTTTGTTGGAATTCAACCCCACACTGCCCAAGTCTGCAATCCTCAATGAGGAACAGTTAGTTGGCTTTAGAATGTCAGTTGGAATGTATGTATTTGTTCTCTCTCTCTCTCTCTGCTCTCATCCTGATTGTAGTGTAGAATGGATACTCTTAACATGCAACAGATTATAGGCAAGAGGAAGAAAAACTACTTACGGGTGTAGGCATGTTAAGCATGTTTGAAAAAAGATCAAAATGATTTTTTCAGTGACAAGGAGAATCCAGAACTGATGAGAAACTTTAATTAGTGCAAAATTTGCACAATATTTTTGCAAAGGAAACAGCATCACTTTAAGCAACGAACAGCGTTCTCTTCACATAAAAAAGTATTTCTAGAACAAAATTGCTATTTCTTAGGTGGAAAACTAGTGCTGTTTTTCACAAAAGTGCAAATTTTGCATACAGTATGTCTTGAACTGTGAATCAATTACCAAAATGGTGCTGTTTTTGAAGTCTATCTCAAGGTAGAAAGAAACATGTTAAAACCACTTGTCACTTCCTTTGAGAAGGAAATGAGTGAAGAATTATAACTCAACTAAGTGCTGCAGCCTTCAACTGTTTTTGAGGCCTGCAGATTTGACCTGCCCACATTTACCACTGTTGCATGACATTTTGGAATGTCTATTAATAATGTGCTACACCAGTGGGAATCTGACCACAACCTTTTGGCTTGAGACATTTGGTTCTGCTATTGCTCTGACCACTTCATAGATCACAAGGGCTGGAAACATACTTTTTCACAACAGAAATTAAGCTGAAACGAGTTCTGTGTCTGTCAATATACTCCATGCCCTCCTACCTCATGCTCTTGCACAGAATCACAAGACACACATACACACCCTTCCGTTGTTTTTTTTTGTTTTTTGTTTTGTTTTTGGAGAAACTGTAAGTCACTTCTGATGGGAGAGACTTAGCCGTTTGCAAGGACATTGCCCAGGGGATGCCCAGATGTTTGATATTTTATCATCCTTCTCTCATGTCTCCGCATGTTGGTCAGCAATCCTGTCGGCACAAGGGTTTAACCCACTGCACCACCGAGGGCTCCCACACTTCTGGTTAAAACTCCTATAAACATGTCAGTATCTCAGAAGGAATCAGTCATGTTGCACAGTGCCTTCGATACAAACAGGAACAAGCTCCTTTGTGGGCTAAACCACATACTATTGTAAATACATAGTGTGTTGTTTAAGATCTGTTTTTACTCCATAGAAAGCAGGGACAGACCTGATATAGTTAACAAACAGTGTTCAAATATGAAAGAAGTTTAAAATTTCTACTCTTTGGAGTTTTTGTTTTGTTTTAAGCTAAATCATACACAGAAGACATAAACTTTGTTGTTATCAATATTTAAAACTTATTTGCAAAAAAAAAAAGGGAGAAAAGAGCAAAAACCCCTTATCTCTCATCACTGATTGGAGATAAGAGCAGAAGCCTGTGGGAGAGAAGGGGAACTCTTACAGACTTAATTGACCATACATCTGACATATGATCTGGAGGTTACTTTTCTCTGTTTTACATGATGCTGTTCATTTGAAATCTTCTGTACAAGATATTATGTGGGTTTTATTTACCATCAAATGCTTCTATCAAATGTTTTTAAACATCAAATGGTGTGTTAAGTAAAAGTAAAGGATTTCCCTTGACATTAAGTCTAGTTGTGTCCAACTCTGGGTGGTGGTGCTCATCTCAATTTCTAAGCTGAAGAGCCGGTGTTGTCTGTAGACACCTCCTAGGTCATATGGCCAGTATGAATGTATGGAGTGCTGTTACCTTCCCACCATGGTGGTCCATATTGATCTACTCACATTTGCATGAACTGCTAGGTTGGCAGAAGCTGGGGCTAACAGTGGGAGCTCACCCCACTCCTTGGATTCAAACCGCTAACTTTTTGGTCAGCAAGTTCAGCAGCTTAGTGGTTTAACCCACTGTGCCACTGGGGGCTTTGTGTTATTATAATGTATTTATTTATAGCAAAGCCAAGTAGAACTACCTTCCACGTATCCCAAAACCTCTTTTCTAAAACTGAAAATCAATCTGTATGTCAGGGAAGGAGTAAACAATGCAAATCAAAACATATGATGCAACAAACTAATAAGGCCAGAATTACCAGTATGTAATGTATATGTCATCAAATCCACGCAGTAGTTCTCAGATCCAGTACAATTTACTACTGCTGGTGAGCAGGGCTTTGACAAAGAATAGCAGGCTGGACAGCGCTTTCCATTGGCTGTGGTGTTGACTGGTGGCACTGGAAAACAAAAGGAGGCAGGGGACATAAACTGCTGGTGCATAACATAGAAATATAATTGCTTTTATACAAAATTCAGATAAAATTCTGCACAAAATGTGCATGTGGTCATTGTGTGCAGAAAACAGTATTTTCTACATGTGCAGAAGCATTTTCCACACAAAAAATATCACTGCATAGAAATACTTTTTGTTGTTTTGTGTAAAAACCACCATGTGTGAATTTTGCGTACAATGAATCCCTGACTGAATATTCTTGCCAGTGTAAGTTTATTCTCATCAAGGGTTCCCAGTGCTCAAAATAATGCATTTTTTTTAAAAAAAAATATTTTCCATCTCTACTATCACAATGGATAAATAATTGCCTTGCTGTGTTAGAAATTCATAATACAAATTTCACATTCACTTACAGGCTGCTATAAGGGTAACTTAGTTCATACACACATAGTGCCCCCAACACTATAGAACAGTATGCAACTTTCCAGATGTTATTGGATTGGAACTCACAGGATTCCTCACCACTGACTATGGTGGTTATGATGATGGAAAGGCAGTGCAAAATCTGGAGGACCACATAATTCTTATCCCTGCTGCTAAAACATCTTTTTAATACATAACTTAAAAATATTCTCCTTTTTTGGACTCTAGAGATGTTCCGCATGTCCATGAAAACACAACCTCTGAGGATGCCTGCCACAGATGCAGGCTAAACGTCAGGAGAGAATGCTTCTGGAACATGGCCATACAGCCCGGAAAACACACGACAACCCAGTGATTCTGGCCATGAAAGCCTTCGACAATACAATGAAGAAGTTATTGGAGCATATAAAATCAGTTGTGTGTGTGTTAACTGAAAATGCAAGGCATGAAGCTGATTGGTTGGGGCATGCCCAAAGAGCTAGCTGAGCCCGGGGATTTTGGCAACAGTTACATATTCAGGCCACTTGCTTTGCAGACAGAGAAAGAGAGATTGATTTGCTTCTTGGCTGATGAAAGACAGTCTCTCATATGAACACAAAAAGGACAATTTTTAATCTCTCTAAAAGGACATCGTATGAGTCAATGCAACTGTTCACATAATTGTATATATGTTGCTCTGCATAGCGAAGAGTAAACTTCTTGTTCTTTACTGATAATATGCATGGCATATTTTCTTTCTCTGGCAAGACAGTGTGTGGACTGGTCAAACGTGAACTACACATTATTTTTATTTCATCACAGAAGTGACACACCCAACTTGGTGTACCCCTGGCCACCCCAGGACCTTCTCCATCAAGGAAAATTGAACAGCCTGGAGGGAAAACAGTGCATATGGCAGAATTAGATGCCCTCATGCCATTTCCAAATAATTCCCCTAAAATGACCCTCTGATAGAAATGTTTGGTGGGCATCGACCTTGCTCAACATCACAAACTGGTTTTCAAAACTGATCAGGGATTTGAGCTCTGATTTCCAAAGTTGTAGTCCAACATTCAAAGCATATAGTCCAACATTCAAAGCATTATGCCACACTGGCTGTTAGAGCCCTTTCACATAGCCCTATATCCCAGAATATCAAGGCAGAAAATCCCACAATATGTGCTTTGAACTGGGTTATCTGAATCTACACTCAGATAATGTAGGATTTCCTGACTTGATATTCTAGGATATAGGGCTGTGTGGAAGGGCCCATATAACTGCATAGCTCCTTGCAAAACATCTGAAAAAGTCCTTGTGTACACACCTCTGGTTATGTAATCATAAGCCACATCTTATGCAAAATATCTGAAAAGGTTATTGTGCTGACGCATCCCTCCTGGTTAAGTCAGTATAAGTCTGGGGTCCCTTCCACACAGCCATAAAACCAGAATATCAAGGCAGAAAATCCCACAATATCTGCTTTGAACTGGGTTATCTGAGTCAACACCACCATATATTCCAATTCAAAATAAATAATCTGGGATTTTATTCAGCTGTGTGGAAGGGGCCACAGCTACAACAGTTTGAGGATTAATTCATAATTGCCTGTGGTAAATGAATGCCAGTTTACAATCCTGTATATTCCGCTCATTGTTATGACACAACCATCACATGGTCACAATGATACAAAGGCAGAAAAAGGGGAATTCAAGGGAAAATACAATATGTCATGCTTACAATGAGAAAGGGCTGCACTGCAGTTTTCCTCCATGCAACAGTTGGCGCTCTTCCTGATGAATTCTCCTTGGCCAAAGGTGACCAATGTCCATCTAGATGTGCAGTTCTCAGAGGAATAGCATCCCTTTTCTACAGTAAACTCTATTTTTCCACCTACAGAACAATATAGAGATTACTATTCAGTAGTGACAAAATCTTCACCTGCATCTAACAGCCTTATTTCTAATCTAATGCTACACCTTGACCCAATTAGACCATACTGGTTGCCCAAATGGATCACCTTTTTGCCTTCATTTAAATTCCCTTTTTCTCACCTTGTGATTTTTCAGTTATACCAATAGCACAGGTATTTTCATCATCTTCACAGAACTCTAGTCCTCCGGTGCAATTGCTGCTGGTAGCAAAACAAGTTTCACATTCCAAGAAGGCACCTTCAGGAAAAGTAAAGAATACACACACGTATATATAGTGTGATTATTTGATATACAACAAGATTAGTGCACAACATACAATATCACTATGCTGACTTTTGTATTTGATCACAACGTCGGACACTTCCCAAGTGTTTAGGACTGTGTGATGTACAAACAAATAATGTGTACAGACCCATCAGGGTGGCCTTTTGCAGCAGACAGATGGTAAATTTGTCAGTACAGATTGTTTTTAAGTGCAGCCCAAGGACTTTAGGCACTGCACCACTGGGACCACCTTTACTGGCTTGTGCCAGAGTCTTTGCAGTTCTATCTTTAAATCCTCATATCATGTAGGATTTTCCAGTTGCTTCTCATCAATTCTGCTGTCACCTGGGATTGCAACATTGATGATCCATACTTTGTTTGTTACCATGAGTTTGAGGTCAGAAGTATTGTGCTCCAAAGTTCTGTCAGTTTGAATTCAGAAGTCCCAGAGAAGTTTGACATGTTCATTTTGTGCAACCTTTTCAGGCTTGGGATCCCACCAGTTTTTTTTTTATCACAGGCAGATGGTATTTGTGGCACAAGTTCCAGTGGATCATCTGAGCAACGGTATTCTGCCTCTGCTTATAGTCCGTCTGCGCGATCTTCTTGCAGCAGCTCAGCATGTTATCCATCATTTCGTCTGCTTCCTTGCAGAGTCTACATTTGGAATCTGTAATCAACTTTCCAATTCTGGCTTTGATGACATCAGTTCTAATTGCTCGTTCTTGGTCTGAAAGAATCAGGCTCTCCATCTTCTTTTTCAAAGTTCCATTTGTGAGCCACATTCATGTTTTTTTCCTTGTCAGTTTTGCTCTGAATTTTTTTCCAGGAACTGTCCATAGAGAGTCTTCTTTTGCTAGTTTTCTACTATTGACATCCAACAATGTATGTTATTAGACAGAGACCATAAATGGGGGGAGGGGGGGGGATGAAGTAAATGCCACCTATATAAATTTTACTACCTACAAGTGATTTTTAAATATATACATATATGGGGATGCAATGACTTCATTTTGCCCTTCTTCCCTCCAGCTAGCTAATAGCTACACTCATGGAACAACATGTTCTCAGTTGATGTGTGAAGCAGGATGTATCACCTTCCACGTCTCTTCTTCTTCCACAGTTCTTTGAAGAAGACATACCATCATAAAATATGTATAAAGTATGTATTGTTTTTTCTTTAAAATCATATCATGTTAAGAAACAGAATGGAATGATTTCTGGTTGAATTAAATGGATTTCTCCTAATGTTTGGCTCCAAAAGAGCTTGAATGTTTGAAGACTCAAAACGAAAGTAAAACTTACAACTCCTTTTCTCCATTGGAAGCTAATTCTGTGCCTGTCTCTTGATACTTGTACTAGTCTTCCAATAACATCGGCATAACCATATGGCTTTTTTTGAATGTTAATATATGACTATGGAGACTGGGGGAGGGGACATAACAGCATTTAATAACTGAACCCACTTTAAGTCAGTTATCAATGAGATCTTACCCAAAGTTGGAAGCAGAGTGCAGAGGAACAGTACCAAGAGAGTATTCATGCTGCTGCTGATGTGAGATATCCAATCGAAGGCCCAGGTAGTAAATGCCACCTATATAAATTTTACTACCTACAAGTGATTTTTAAATATATACATATATGGGGATGCAATGACTTCATTTTGCCCTTCTTCCCTCCAGCTAGCTAATAGCTACACTCATGGAACAACATGTTCTCAGTTGATGTGTGAAGCAGGATGTATCACCTTCCACGTCTCTTCTTCTTCCACAGTTCTTTGAAGAAGACATACCATCATAAAATATGTATAAAGTATGTATTGTTTTTTCTTTAAAATCATATCATGTTAAGAAACAGAATGGAATGATTTCTGGTTGAATTAAATGGATTTCTCCTAATGTTTGGCTCCAAAAGAGCTTGAATGTTTGAAGACTCAAAACGAAAGTAAAACTTACAACTCCTTTTCTCCATTGGAAGCTAATTCTGTGCCTGTCTCTTGATACTTGTACTAGTCTTCCAATAACATCGGCATAACCATATGGCTTTTTTTGAATGTTAATATATGACTATGGAGACTGGGGGAGGGGACATAACAGCATTTAATAACTGAACCCACTTTAAGTCAGTTATCAATGAGATCTTACCCAAAGTTGGAAGCAGAGTGCAGAGGAACAGTACCAAGAGAGTATTCATGCTGCTGCTGATGTGAGATATCCAATCGAAGGCCCAGGTCTAAAACTTCAATGAAGCAAATTCTATGGCCTGAAGTGACCACAAAAAGATGAAGGGTGAAAGAGACCTAACAACCATTTATAGTTCACCTACAATCAAAGAACATTCTTAACCTCACCAACAATGGGACTGAACCAAACTTGGCACACAGAATTCCCCATGACCAACAGAAAATACTGGAAGGGTTTGGTGGGCATTGACCTTGAGTTTTGGAGTTTTGTAGTTCAACTACATCTAGAGCACTGTGGACTTCAACAGATGGATCTGGACCAAACTTGGCACAAATACTCAATATGCCCAAATGTGAACACAGGTGGAGTTTGGGGAAAATAGACCTTGACATTTGGAAGTCGTAGTTGCTGGGATTTATAGTTCACCTACAATCACAGAGCATTTTGAATCCACCAACGATAGAATTGGGCCAAACCTCCACACAGAACCCCCATGTGGGCCACAGCAACGCGTGGCAGTGGACGGCATATATATATATATATATATATATATATATATATTTTCTTCGTGGTCTCTGCGAATGCACACTTGTGGAGAGTCTGCGCCTGCGCGGGCTCCAACGGAAACTTCTACTTTTGAAACTTTTCAAAGTTTTGGCGGTAACCCCGCCCAGCCCCGGCAGGGGATAAAAGGGCGCCGCGCGCCATCGCTCCAATTCCTTTCTTTCCGCCGCACGGCTCACTTCGGTGCTTCCAGTGTTGGTTTGGTTAGTTAGAGAGTGTTGGATAGCGATTGGATAGCGATTAGATAGCCTTCTTCGAGTTGTTGACTGGATTATGCCAACAACTCGCTTCAAAAAGTGTGCGAGATGTCCGAAAAAGATCCCTGACTCGGACAGTCACTCGCTCTGCCTGCTGTGCCTCGGCGAGGCTCATGCTACATCGTCGTGCCGTCATTGCCAGGCCTTGACGGCACAGTCCCGCAAGAACAGGCAGCAACGCCTTCGGTACCTCCTGTACCAACAGGCCTTGGCCCCGGTACCCTCGACGTCGGCGTCGGCGTCGACATCGACCACGGTATCCCGGCCCTCGACTTCGACATCGGCCACGGCTTCCCGGTCTCCGACAGCTACTGGTTCTTCACGAAAGGCAGTAGCACAGAAGAGGCCAAGGGCTGCGATGTCCACGACCTCAAAGAC